AAGAATTAGGCTATATCTCTATAATTGCTCCAAATTTCATGAAAATGAATAACCATCCTGTGTTTCTTCTTTACAGAGTTTTAAAGATGTATATAAAATATGTATATTCTCTGAATGAACTTAGTTTTGAAACTGGTTGAAATGCACATGGCAGCTTGACCTTGAAAATGCAATAGTCCCAATGCCTACAACAGGACTTGCTACCATTGAACTTACAAATGCTTGTTGAATTTGTAATACATGATTCTCATTGGTTCAAATCATATCCATGAGCTTTCATATAGTCCAATGACAAGTACACTCTACCAACACCAGTGTTGCTCACACTGAAGTTCTATTTTCCTAGGTTCTTTCACCATTCCCCTGAGAAAAAGGAAGTCTTCCTAACAGCAATTGAACAAACAACTGAAAAAGCAATTCACACATGCGACCAGAGACACCGAGGCTGTCTTTGTGGAAAAGAAGGGCTCTCCCACTGCCTTTTTCCAAGACAGACACCAATCTCTATTCCACATGGAAGCAGGAAAGAGCTTGTGTTTGTACACACAGGAGAAAAGGAGGGATTACTGGGGACCCCAGAGACTTAACAGGAGTATGAAGTCTCTTCTGCTACAGAAACTCCTGAGGGACTGAGGGATGGCAATGGCAAGAGTAAAGGGAATGGTTATTAGAACAAGAAGGGAAGTAAGCAGCCCTAATGATCTTTATAGAATGAATTCTGAAATCAACCAACCAATCACAAACAATGGGGGGGAGGGGCAGGGAGAGAAGGTAAAAATAATGACCACATCTCTTTAGTTCCTCTAGGCCTCCCTAGAGCTTTTACAAGTGTTCTGAGTTCCTGCATACAAGTGATATTAGAACTGTTCCCTGATCTTATTACATTTATGAGTGTAAGCTATTGTTCCTTCTCTCTAGGCAAGAGTATTGTGCTACAAGCTAGAAAGGTTTGTTTCTCAATACATGCCATGCTGTCGATTTAAAATTGAAACTAAATACATGAAAATCATATGGGATTCTTACCTTCTTGTGTACATGTCTACAAACACTAAGATTTCACTTTGGAACATTTTATGAGGCTTCTAATAAAAATTCCTCTAACATTTTTTCTCTGATTCTGTTCAATCCCTCACTACATGAAGAAATTACTAGTTGCAATCTTAATTAATTTTAATTTTAAAAATTTTAATTATATATGTTAAAGAGCAATTACCAAACAAGTTCAGTGAAAAAAACTGTAGCTAAACAGTTTTATCACTTGTTTTCATCAAAAATGTCTACTCAGTTCATATGCATACTATACAACCTATCATCGTAGACATTCCCGATACATGTTAGGATTTGTTTTTAAGGCTGAAAAGAAGTTCTGCTAAAAGGAAACCTCTTTAATTTCCTTAAAACAAGTGTTTTTGAACATGGGGCCATTTTGCAAAGAAAGCCTCTTAGTATCAACTACTCCTAATTTTCAAGATAAATTCCAATAGCAACATGTGAAAGTATCCTAACAAGAGTTGCTTTTAATTCTAATCATGTGCTGTTAAGGCAGGGTTTTTCAGCTTCAGCATTGCTAACATTTGGAGTCGGTAATTATTTATTCTGGGGACCCAGTGTGTTGTAGAATGTTAATAACATCCCTGGCCTCTGCCCACAAGATGCCAGAGGCACTCCCTTCCCAAGTTGTGACAACCAAAAAATGTCTCCAGATGTTGCTGGTATGGGGGGGGAGGGAGACAGGGGCAAAATCACCCCTGTAGAAAACCACTGTCCTAAGCCTATCAATAAGATACCCTGAGGTAACAGGTGATTTGTCTTCTTCCATGTTGACTAACATTTCTCTCTCTCATAAGTTCTGCCTCCTCAAGCCATTTCACCACTTTTTTTTAAAATTTTTTTATTCTTATGTTAATCCCCATACATTACATCATTAGTTTTAGATGTAGTGTTCCATGATTCATTGTTTGTGCATAACACCCAGTGCTCCATGCAGAATGTGCCTTCCTCAATACCCATCACCAGGCTAACCCATCCTCCCACCTCCCTCCCCTCTAAAACCCTCAGTTTGTTTTTCAGAGTCCATCGTCTCTCATGGTTCGTCTACCCCTCCGATTTCCCCCCCTTCATTCTTCCCCTCCTGCTACCTTCTTCTTCTTTTTTTTTTTTAATGCCTTTACCTTAGGGCAGCAGATTCCATTGACAATTCCTTAAAGTATACATGGGCTTAGGAAACAATCCTCCAGGAAATTTATTGTCAAAATATGCCCAAGGGTACAATCCTCTCTATTTCCACTGCAAGAGGTGAAGAAGGATAGACAGGGAAGGGTTTTCTCATTTCACATTACATTTAACATCCTATGAATGAAGACTTCACCTCCACATGCTCATAAGTTTTTCGGGTGCCTAAATTCTGCTTTTTTTTTTTGGACACCCAAATCAACTTGCCCAATAATCACTCCTCCTTGACCCACAAACAAACAAACAAACAAAACAAGCAAACATATAAGGTTATGTTGTATCTGAACAGCACTCCAGGGAGAACAGAATTAACAGCTAAAAATAATGTATTTTATCTTCACCACATGTTCTAACAATACTCAATGGGGAAAAAAAAAAAATCCATGGTAATAGAAGCAGAAACCGACAGCATTGTCTTTATTCAAAGTCTCCACCTTTCAGATATCCAGAATCATGGACATATTTCAAAAGGTACCTCTCAATAGTTACTGTACTAGAAACTGAGAAAGCCACTGTCACATGGAATATGAGGACGTGCCCTGGCCATGAAGCTTGCTGTCGTTTTTGCTGTATCCCTCCACAGGTCAGTGATCACCCTGTAAAACAACCCATACCATGATCCTCATCACTTTTCTAGAGTTCTCACTTCCCTTCATCTAAGTCTCCCCCTGCAATTTGGATGCGTGAACTATTTCTGGTGGTTTCACAACCACCTCAGAGTCCAGCCCTCTTAGGAATCCACAGACAGTAGACAGTTCTCACTCTTCCTTTTTTGAGTCCTTCCACAGACGGTACAGGTTTCCAGAGTCACCTTCATCCTCATTTCCCCGTATCTGGTAAAGTCTCTAAAAATATGGCACTGACGACAGAACATAGAAAGCTGGATGGAGGCTGAGAAGGCGCAGACATGGTTACAGATCCCGCCCCCCCCCACCCCGTTTCCGATCCTGTATGCTGTAGACGCTTCTTTCCTTCTTGCGGTTGGTGGGTGAAATCTTTCCGAGTCAAAGAGGCGTTTTTGCATAAAGCTTTTTGCATTAGACGCTTGTTTATTCTATTACCTGGTCTTTTTTCTTTTTAAGTTACATTTACATGTGGGAAACTCAGGGAGATCCCTACTCTCGAAATCCCATGAGTGCTGGTCACTCTGCCGTGCTTCTCGGCCCCACTGGCCATTTGGAGCCATCACGCTTCCGGAGTCCGTGGGGCAACATCATCGCGTCACCTGCAGGGGCAGCAGAGTGGAACTGCGGACCCCCGGAGTGACGCCCCACGTAAGGGACCGAGGATTCCGGAGCCCCTCTGGCCGCGGGGACTCCTAGGATTCCCTCCCGCACGGAAGGGACAGCCGCCTCCTCGGGGTACCAAATCAGAGGACAAGACTGGAGCCAGGTTCGGGGTGTGCAGGGGACGGGAAGAGGTTAGAAAGGAGCATCATTGGACGAGCAAAGAATGTGACCCTGGGGAAAGGAGACAGAAGAGACGTAGGAAAACACGTTTCCCTTAATCCCCTCCCCGTGCCGCCTGTGGATCCCAGGATCTCCTCGTCATGGAGACAGACTGCAGCAACAGACGCGACCCTGGGCTGGCAACACGCACATACTCGCGCACACACGCCCCGCCGCGAGTTGCACGCTGCAGACTTCTGCCTGACTTCACAGCCCAAAACACCTCACCTCCGGGGCCAGACCACGGATTCCTATGGCCCAGAAGTGACACCACCCCTCTCCGCCCCCCCGCAACACACACATTCCGACTCTAGATTGCACCCGGAGGGGGCCGGTAACCACTTACAGGGAAGCCCCGGCAATTCCCCTGTAAATGACTGCCCTCCAGGCTGCCTGATCTGTCCAAATCTCCTACTAGCTCTCCTAGAGCAAGCTGCCCTGCCACAAAGCCAGGTAGGAAAAGGAGGAGGAACCTGGGGTGCAAGTGAACCTCAGAGAACCGCTACTAAGTCAGTATTCAGGGGACCACACGTAGCCTCCTCCAACCGTTTCCTGAGCCTTTCGGCTCCACCAGCGGCCCGGTTCCTCCGCCTGATCTCTGCACTGCTGCCCTCCTCCCCTTCACCCAAATCCCTCAACGATTGTCCAGCTGGCCCTTCCAGGCCACTTTCTGCATCCATCCTCTCTCCAGACGGTTCCCAACAGTGGCCTCGCATACTCACTCCAAAGACCTTGATTCAAGGCTGCCTCTCACCATTATTATATCGCCCTGAACCTAGCACTAATTCCCCAAATTATCCGGGTCCACTCATTTTCTCCGGAACCTACTGTCCCTTCCACCAGCGTCTTTTGCTCTCGTTCAAATCCGCCTTCCACGCGCCCCACTTTCCATCCATCTTCCCTCTGCCGCTCCGACCAGGACATGCTCCCCCCCTACCATACCCCCCATACTGCGCTCCCGCCCTAACCCCCCGGAGACACCCCGCTTTCCCTCTGCGGCTCTTCTCGGCCGGGCGCCCGCACCCAAACCCAGCCTCCCCATCCCGCACCAGCCCGCTCCCGGCCTGCCGGCCTTTCCCTCACCTCGCGGTCCTGCCCAAGTTGGCCCCCTCGGCCCCCGCCAGAGTCAGTTCAGCCCTCCTGCTTTGCCGGTCCCCCCGGCTCGAGCATCCCAGTGGCCGCCCGCTATCAAACTGGCCAAGCGGCTCACCGAGGCGCCAGGCATTCGGAGCAGCGGCTAGTCGCGCCTCCCGCCAGCCAGCCCGGGCTCCCCCGGGTGCCGAGCCCTCGCCCCACCGCCCAACCACCTTACAAACTTACTTGCGGGTCGCCAGGAGGGGGGTGCGGTGAGCGGCCGCGGACCCCGCGGCGGCGAGTGCGCCCCTCTCGGCGGGGCTGGGCG